CATTTAAAGTTAAAGGACAGCCTAAAACCTGACTATGCCATCACCACACAACCTGTTAACAGGATGTTAGACATGCACTGTTACATACTCTCTCCATGTTATAAAGGAAACTTGTTTTATTTGACTTATATTTTCATTTATAGTTGTTGACTCAACTTTCCAGTGCTTAACAAGAATAAAAAAATCTGCAGTTTATGAAATAAATGGAAAAGTGGTAAAACCAGTGGAGTGAAAAGGCTTTTGACTGGTCGTGTATCTCAGACGGCAGTCGGTTGGATCGGGATCTGAAGCCATTTGCTCCGTGCGCACGGACGCTTCAGAATCGCGTGACAAGCGAAAACGCGTCTGTTAGCATGGTGTGAGACGGTGCAGTGAGACTCTGCTTTGGGAAAAGCCCGGAAGGAAGGCAGCCCAGGTGAGCGCTGGAGTCAGACAGCACATTCCAGAAAATTCCTACAAGGAGCAGAATGGATGAGACTGTGACACTGACGGGATTCCTGTGTAATGAGCCCCGCTGTCAGCAAGGGGCCGAATGCACCATGTCTGCTTGTCCTGACCAGAGACAGCAGCCTCACACTGAACTGCACACCGATCAGGGGTGAGTTTCCCGAAGCGTTCTTAACGCTGCATCGTTCTTAAGTTCTGTGTTAAAAGATAGAACTAACGAACGACGTAGCATTAAGAAGGCTTTGGGAAATTTAGACTTACTTAAGGCTTTGGCTCACCTACACGCCCTCGCTAACGGTGGTGTTTATAAAACGATGGCCGTAATCCGGTGTTATCGCCAGGCTCCTTTATCACGTGTAAACTAGCATAGAGAAGTGCAAACAGGAACCTGTGTGTGTCCCTTTTCATTAGCAAACCGCCAGGACTGAGAGGTCTACTGAGGGAAAGGGCGTTTAACCCGAGATGAAGCTAATTAAAATCCTAACAAGCCACGTCCAGCCAGGAGTGAGAGCCACTGGGCACCAAACCCCCCCCCCCCGCCGCAGCAGCGCCAGCTGACCTGTCACACGTCTCTGATTGGCTGAAAACGGAGGCATGGAATCCCTGTCCACAGCTGTGTGACGATTTGTTATCGAAATATAAATGGTTTTCAGTTTCACACCGAAGGAATGAAGTGGAGAAAAAAAAAACAATAGCTGCTGCGGAAATGAGCTGTCAGTGGGCGGTGGCCTCACCTTAGCGGGTCTGAGGGTCTGACAGCAGTGTCCGTTCTGCTAGACCAGCACACATCTCATGATGTGACCAGAAACTTCTATAAACTGTACACTATAAAACAACCACTTCCAGCCATACTTCTGTAACCACAGCTAGATTGGCTGTCTGACTGGATCTCCGTATCCGTGGGTTCTCCGTATCCAGAAAATTCCTGAAAGCAAAACTTGAATTTGCTGCACACTAAGCTGGATCCACATGAATTAATGCATAGCTTTTGATACTGGTGAGTGTTAACACAGTGTGTGTGAGAGACAGGGAGATAATCGATTTGTTTTCTCTGTAATTATATTTTCTATATGTCCTTCAAAGGTTCTATTTAGTGAACAATTGTCATTGTTATCATGTCACAGCACACAATGAAATGGGTCCTCTGCATTTAGCCCATATGTGACATCGTGACATAGCAGGGGGCAGCTAATTCAGCACCCAGGGAGCAGTGCTTGGGGGGCAATACCTTGTTCAGGGTACGTCAGTGTGCCTTGCTGGTCAGGGATTTGAACCTGCAGTCTTACAATTACAAGTGTGCTTCCCTAACCATTAAGCCGCCGCTGCCCGTAATGCAAATGCTACTCTACGTTGCATAATGAACTTGAGCATCTGCAGATCTTGGTATCCATGGGGGAACAGGATACAGGAGGCCGACTCTACTGCTATCTCATGATTCATTTATAAAAAACAAAACCTAAAACACGATGGGAGCGAGGCGCATACTCTCTTTGGGCCCCCTCCCTACCATTCACACTTTCACTGTGTTTTGGCATTGGGAACTAGGCCCTCATGCGCATCTGACTGACAATCACCCCTGCCAGCCAGATAACTCAGGCATAGGGAAGGTCCGTCTCTCCACAGGTCAGAGGACCAATCGCCTTTCCTCTTGAATAACTTGTTGGATTTTAGTAAGTCTAAGCTAAATGTACATGAACAAAAGATAAAGTCCATTCTGCCCAGGCTACTTTAAATCCAAAAAGCTATCTGGCTAAGCAAGAAATCCTTCTTCGTGGATCAGCCCCCGGTCATTCCTGCTTTGTTAAAGGACAGGCAGGCTAATTGTCACAGATATGGCATTACAGCTTAAGGGCTGTAGGTTCCAAACCCAAGAGCCTGAACTGCCCCAATGAGATCTCCAGCTCCATAAATGGGTTAAAGCGCAATATGATTTGGATTAAAAATAAATCAGGTATTTGGGTGAGGAGACCAAGAGACTGACTGAAGATAAGCCTGACCAAGCACGCCAATATAACAAGAAAACATTAATCATCAGTGCCGCCTCACACTTGCAGATGAGGTGCATTTTTGACAAATGAGAAATGAAGAAAGAGGCAATCACCCAAAGGCCACAGGCTACAGGCCGTTCTCAGGATCCTGTGGATCTGTCAACACACTAACGGCAACTGAATTCCTGATTTTATGGGTGCAGAGAACAAGGGATTTGACTGTGAGAATTTCATCATTCCCCCACAGCCCTCCTGCACCCCTGACAGGGGGAGGATTCTCACCAGAAGCGAGCATGAGCAGATAAATAAGCTGACAGCCCACGCAGCCTGACGGCAAACAGCCAAGACAAAGCCAGCTTGGCAATCATATTTCACAGATTCCGTGCACTGGCTGCATCCTGAGATAATAAAGACGGATGTAAATAGTATATGCAGACCTATGAATATTATAGCATATTATCACCATTGCACTGTATGAATATGAACAGCGGTTTTGTATCCCACTCGTGCAGCTTGGACACCTGAACCCTCGGAGGTAATTTAACGCAGCCACTGTTAAGTCATGAGGCACGTGAGCAGACATATGCAAACAAACAGCTCAGGGCTGTCAGCGGCGTGACAAACAATGAGACCCAACCTGCCAAACTGGACGCTGATGGTGACAATTAAAATACTGCACCAGTTTAAATATTAACTGGAAACTATTGCTAGATATAAAATAAATCACCATTAACTTTGGTCATTAATACAATGGCGAGTTCCTAGTAATGTAATGCATGAAATCATTACACTGCCAGGATTTCGCATCGCTGTGAAGTTCAGGGTCTGTGAGAATTAATCAGGCGTTTCACTTGCACTTTCTGCAACTGGAGGTGCAGATTAAGTAGCGGGAGCGCAAGGTCGTCTCCCCTCCGCCCTGCACAGCGTCTCGGCATGAGCTGTTGCGACTTGCGCGGCTTAAAATTTCACAAGAAGCCACTCATGCTTGCAGCTCTAGGGTACAGCAGCTGCTCCCAGGAGGGATGCGAGCAGCCCGAGTCGCAGCACGCTCGCCAGGGAAGGTCTCCTGGGAGCCCCTCATCCATCTTTTCCCTCCTGCGCCTCCCAGTAAATGAAACGGAGCTAGTTTAAACTCGCCGGGCCGGGCTCACGTGACACCAGACAGGTTCACAGCCCGGGGCAAGAAAGCGCCCTGCCTCACGGGGCAGGCGGCCACCTGATAAAACTTACCCTATAAAAATAAACGGAGAAATGGCTAATTAGCACTAATTATCCAAAGGCAATTAAAGAATTAGCATTATTTGTGACCAAGGGAATTACTACAATGAGACTGCTGCCTTTTACTGCCAAACACACACTCCCGTTACCGCGCTACGCAGAACTAACCTCTCGGTCAAAACCCGGTTAAGCGACTTAATTTTAAGTCAAGCAGCATCGCATGTTCATTATGGGGCCCCGTGCGCAGACCGGCGGGGTCACTCGATGCCTCAGAGCGCAGGAATAGCTCATATATGACGGGTGATGTGAAAGAGAACAATGACACCTAAAAACAGCATTAACCCGCCCCCACCCCGAGGCAGCGACTCGTTCACGGAAGCACACGTACAACCTGAAAGGGTTCCACACTTCTTCCCGTTTCTCTTCGTTGTAACTCAAGTGGTTTTTCATCTTTGAAAAGATAAAAGTTGTTAATCGGATATGACAGGCTCGGCAGCCGAAAGTGAATTTTTACTATTTTTTATCAAACACTTTTATCCAAAACTTTTGCAGAACTCCTTGGAAAAATCAAGATTAATGGCCCAGCAGTGACATCACTTTGCCAACCCAGGATTTGAACCGATAACCTTCCGATCACAATTAAGCACCTTATGCTAACCCGCTAACCACATACAACCACCAAAAATAACCGCCGAGTCACCTGAAAATCGCTAAAAACGTAAACGTTTCTTTCGTGAGGGGGGTTACGCCTTTTGGGGAATTCCCGCCATACAGGAATATGCTGCCACTAAAGACGGACACCAGCATGGTAAAGCGATAAGGGGGGAACGCCGTCACCGCTGTGCCCCAAACCCACGTCTGTAGGCTTTGCAAACTACCCCAACGGTTTTGATGTAGCAAACTTTAGGTTTATAATGGAATAACGTCGATTTGCCGTAAGATTCTGAAAATGAGTGTCACGCCAGAGCCCTGCCAAGACCCAGGGACAGATAGGGTCACTAAAACGTAACCCAAAGCGATCCTTGCCACAGGTTATCCCAGCGGAGGTGGCAGGAGAACGGCGTGATTCTGCTCGCTGCCCGCCACCTGGCCAACTGCACGAGCGGCGTGAGGAGAATCAAAAGATGAGAATAGGTCCCGTCAGTCTATCAGTAACTATATAGGCTATAATATCACTAATATATAAACCATACAATAAAACAATAAGAGCAGTAAACGGTGTTATAAATATTACAACTACTTATAATATTGCATTAACTGTAAAAACACTAATGATATTATAAAACATGGTTCATGGATAACATGTACTATTACTGATGATGATGATAATAATAATAATAGACCTACATTTTATTTCTTATGGTGTCAATGTCCTCGGATTCCGTGAATATGAACGGATCGCTAAGCAGTTTTCCCCGTCGCGATGTTTTTTTCTTGATCCAGGACTTAAGCCTCGCTTTCTTTCTTTGGTTCGGGCTTGTCGGTCCCATATCCCGCTCCTCCGGACTGTCGGGTCCGGAGTCCCAGGGCAACGTCGCGCTCGCACGGTCTCCATTCTGCGTTCCAGGGACGGGAGCGTTCGACACCTCTGCCTTAATTTCTTTTTCTATGGACTTTGTTTTGAAGAAGAGTCTCTTTATCGATCCGGACTTGCTCATGCTGTCGAGTGCAACTCGCTGTTTCAGATGGATAGAGGAGCGGTCAAAGCGCGCGGCGAGTCAGACCTCAGGCTTAAGATTCTGATTCGTTGTCTCTGTTCGGTCCTAATGCGCTCCGTTTGGAGGTGTAGAGAGGCACAGATGCCCCGTCCCTCTTCCTTAAATCCGAACTCCGATTTAAATCCGATTAGAGGAGCTTGCCCAAGCAGCCAGATTCATGGGAAAGGCGAGGCTGCCGCCTCGCACGTAAGGCGTATTGCGCTTTTACGTTTACTTCGGGGCAGGGGCGGGTTTGTCGTTCCTGGGGCCCAGCTCAGAAAGTCACTTGGGGGTCTCCCGCCCAGTGCAGTGACCGTTTGTGGCCAACAGAGGAGCCCCAAAACTCGGGGACCCCAGATTCAGTAAACACCACCTATCCATCCATTCCCATAGCAAAGCACTTCATTGCTCAGTTAGAAATCGCTCCACAACTCCAGGCAGCGCTGTATACATTATCCAAAAAGCAGAGAGGCAGCTTTAACTAGCCAGAGTTGCCTTCATAGCACACTCATATTAATAATATGCCCGTCAGGCGGAAGCCAGTCAGTCCGTGCCTGGCACGTGCCTGTGGGGACCCACTCGCCAATTTCTGACGCACCTTTAGTTATTTAGTTCTGGCAGTGGTTCAGTATTTTTGCATTTTAACTCATTAACAAAATGTTAGAGTCGTTTCACAGTTACAGAAGGCGGGGTTAATTAATATTGGGGGTGGCGAAATCGTCACTCGAGCGGCGTGTGCGGCCAGATGGCGGCGCCCTATAGGGTACCGGGTAGAGATTTAATCGCCCATAGCGCGCGAGTGTGCAGTATGTACCCTGCAGTTTCCTGACATGTCATTCCTTATACGCTGCCTCGGACGGATACCCCAGACAGCGCCTGGGAAGGCGGATGGATGGACAGGCTGTACGTAAAGACATTTTATTCTTCGGCTTATTGCCGAACAATCTTGTCTGACGAGGTGTTACATGGAGCACATATAAACTTAGTAACCTTGTCAAAGCGGTTTGGGAAGAATTAAACAAATGAATAACGTCATAAATACAGCACATGCAAATAAATAGTTCCTTAGATGCTCATAAGGGTAATTTGCGTAGATGACAATGAAGCATTAAAAACAGAAACTTACAGTAATGAGTAACTGCTTTGAACATGTAGGTCTACAGAAAGTTTAGACCAGGGGTCTTCAACTCCGGTCCTGGAGAGCTACTATCCAGTAGGTTTTCTATCCTACCTGGCTACTGATGAGCCACACCTGCTCCTGGTATTTACCTGAGAACTGGTGTGGTTCATCAGTAGCCAGGTAGGATAGAAAACCTACTGGATAGTAGCTCTCCAGGACCGGAGTTGGAGACCCCTGGTTTAGGCAGAACCTTGTGGAAAATGAAGTTGTTTGAAGGCTATAGGAACGCAAGAGGGAGCCCTTGTAAAATACTTAATTAGGCCCATATGACTTTCTTTTAACTACAGTATTATAATTGATTATGCACAAATAATGTTATATAATTTTACAAACCTCGGCAAACACTTTTACTGATGGTCTGGACTGAATGAAGAAAGTCTGGACTTTTCTTTTGTCAGACTGGATGTCAAGGGTGCTTTCACATCTGTGGTTCGGTTCATTTGGTCCGGACCAAGGGCAACAAATGATACAGTGTAGCATTTTTCTGCCATTTTGGGTCCTTTTCACACCACACTGATTGCTCTGGTCCGAACCAGTTGAAACGAACCAAAATGCAGTCATATGACAACATCTACATCACTCGTTGGCCAGATGTGCCATTAAACGTATTTCGTAAACTGCTTTTTAATTGGTCAGAATTAACGTGCGGGAAAATTCCAATGGAACTCCCGGAAGTAAACAAAGCGAGGAGACAACAAGCCGGTAGACAACATGCCGCTATTTAGTATGGAGGGACGACTGCGGCAGCTGGATTAGTCCAAAAAGGCGCAGTACTTTTTGCAGTTGGGTCTGTTCGAGTTCGGATCATGTTCTCACCACAAACGAACCGCTCCAGTGTTCGTTTGAAAGCGTACCGAGACCACCTCTTCAAGGAGGTCTCGGTACGCTTTTTTGGTCCGCTTTTGGTGCGCACTCGGGTGCGATTGTTACATTCACACCTGCCCAAACGAACCGCACCCAGTAGGAAAACGAACTCTAGTGCGATTCAACCGAACTAAATGAGGCAGGTGTGAAAGCACCCTAAGATAAATTCTGAGGAGCTCGTCAGAAACACCCATAGCTGAGTGGCAGAAGGTGCCGCAGACGTTTTACAATTTTAACAAAAGGTGACATGTTCAAAGGAAAACTAGATGCTGTCAGCATAACAACAATGTATTGCCTTAACGGTCCCATCAATTCAATTTTATTTGTATAGTTTCACAATATTACACTGTCCCAAAGAATTTTACATTATCCCTGCCCAAAGCCCCCAGTGAGCAAGCCAGAGGTGACAGTGGCAAGGAAAAACTCCCATTGAAGGAAGAAACCTTGGGAGGGACCAGATTCATAAGGGGAGCCCATGCATCCTGCAGGGGCTGGCAGGGAGAGTCAAATGCACAAGATGGCAAAGTTCCAGTTCAAAGCAGGGGGGCAGGCAGGTGATGGCAGGCAGGTGAATATAGGAATTTTGATTATTCTGCTCCTCTGGAACCAGGCGTCCACCACTGGAACATCGGTTGGCTCTGTCTTCCATTGGTAGAATGGAGGTTGGTACCCCAGGACACGCTTAAAGGGGGTTAACCTCAGGGATGAGTGATACAGTGGTAGTAGCAGTTGGACTGGTTACAGGCAGGGTCCTGCTGCAATGCACAAGCAAAGTCCTGGCAGGTGGCAAAGGTGCCAGCCATGCCAGAGTCCATACAGGCTGTTATGGAATGAGCTAAGGAATCAAAATTAATTATATCAGGTTTCTGATATGTTTTCTGCACTGTAAAAAAAAATTGGCTGCCCCAACTGAAGATTCTTATGTAACTAATTACATCATCTTTTTTGAGTTCTCTCAACTTCTGGTTTATATTTGTTCCACAGACTTATATTTTTAAGTTAGTCGAAAAAGGCCTGAAAGTCACCCCAATACCTAATTCAGTGTTATGTCAACTTGTAGTCAAAGTACCACTAACACAACATTATCAATTAGACATACCAACTTAAAAAGGGTGATGTTATTTGTTACTTTAACTTTTTAAATTAAGCCAACAAACCTTCAAAACAACTTTTACATGGCTACTAAAATGCTCACATTAACCAAACTTTTACAGGTATCAAATGCAACATTTTTTATTGCTGAAGTTTTGTAAATCCACTGTTCAAATGGATAAAGTTATTACATAACAGTAATCCACTCACACATTGCTGGGTACAAAGCAAATATGAAATATATCAAGCAACTGGTCTTTATCAATTAGTTAAACCCAACAGAAGAGATTGAGAACAGGTATTTATGAAAAATTATGCTCACTTCTTCAACTGCTGCAATCGTCAAAAACTTTTTAGCATACTTCCATGAGAATACAATGTGTATCAATTTTACAACATTTCAAAAAAACAATTCAATAAAGCACACAAGAAGGGATGACCTCAGAAATACAACTAACACAATTAGGAACCCATAATAAATTCTAAAGGAACTAAGAAAGCTATCCCTTTTTAATTTTTTTTCTCATGTACCAATAGAGTGCCATGTGCAGATAAATTTTGCAAACATTTCAGCAAAATAAAGCTATAAATAAAGAAGTATGAAATACACAATTCAGCTCTGACACAATGAAGACCCCATTATAAATTTACTGCAACTAAACTCCGCAGGTTATCCTTCAGTAAACAGCTGATGAAACATTTCTGTAATCACAACAAAACATGGATTTACTAGGACATCAGGTCATTCAAAAAAAAAGGTGCAAGAAATTGAGCGCTCTAGCTCTTTAACAGTCTGTTCTTCAGAGACAGTGTTCGGGCTGAGCAGTACTCTCCAAGAAAAAAGAAAACCTTCTGAATGGTCTCAAATGTATATTTCCATTCTTTGGGGAATTCAATGTTGAAGGCATAAATAAGCCCAAAAAGCAGTCCAAATGCAGTTGGATAGTCAGTGAGTCCCTCAAGGACAACAGTCTCCTCCAGCACAATAATGCTGTTCACTGACTTGGGTGGGACTGCCCCATCTTCAGTGGTCTCCAGGATGCCCATTTTCATGCCAACTTTGGTTTCCAACAAGTCAGCTGCCTAATGCAATTAACATAGAACAATAAACAGATGTAAAAAATAAATAAAATTGACTTTTACTAGTATTGTCAATGTCAAGGAAGTCTCTCCTCTAAAATGTGTCAACACCTATAAAGAAATGTTTGCCAGAATTTTATGAATCCCGCAAATATGAAGCTATTAGTTCACAGACAGGATTAGGAACCTTGTATGAAATAGCTACAGCTAAACTAACATTGATCAAGTACAGGGCATCATTATAACACTCCTAAAAAAACTTACCACACAAGTCTTCAGAATAGGGGTGTGCTCCCTGAAGTAATATGGAAGTCCTTTTAGTGCTGTTATTCTACGATGTTTTGTCATGTCTGTGGTCTATAAGGACAAAACTAAAGTTGAATGGTTCTCTCCCCCACAAGTCTCCCACACACATGACACAACAATAGATTTACAAATTCATACTACAGAACATAATACCTGCTCATCCAGACTTTCTAACAGGGCAGTTATCATATTGCTCTCTTTGGCTCTGTACATCTTGAGGAGAGGTACTGAAAACTTGTCAAGAGAGGCATGGAATGCTGTGTGAAGGTCAATTCCTGTAATTCTCTTAAATTCTGCATACACCTTAGTCAGAGAAACAAACAGACAAAAAGGCATAGAACACATAAATACACAGACTAAAATGCATAAAACACATAAATCAATTTAATAACTGTGATATAATAAGATACATATTCATAAATGTATTGTTAATAATGTCAAGTACTGTATTGTTTATAAACAACAATCTGCAGTATTTTGTTATACAGAACAGATGTATTTGGAAGTGCACTATTTAAACACAGAATTCACACCACAAAGTCAATCACAAAATAATATTATCCCCTAATTACTACTTTCAACAGCAAAGTTTGACAATTAATTAATCTTACAGTACCTGTGGTTCTGTGAAAAGACCTGGCCATCTTTCCATCACCACAGAAACAGGAGGTTCATCATGAACTATCTCTCTCCTTCTCATTGAGAAAGTCATGTCCATCTTTTGATTAACAAGTGTCATGTTAACATTCTTCTTCCTTAATTCTTCCACAAGGGTTATTCTTTCACTTTCAAGAGCTTCATCATCAAATCCATGTGGAATATCTGGGAGAAAATTTATCTCAGAATGCCTGGGTTTCTTTACACCTCTCTGTGGCATTTCTTTTTCTCTCTTGTTTACAGAAACTTCTAAGCATCCAGCAGTGC